TATATATATTACTAGTTGTACTTTTGCTTCAGTCTTTCATAATATTGGTAACCTCACTGCCACGGTTTCGTTTGATGAATTAATGCCGTATGTATTGTTAATTTCGTCTCTACTTGTAATTTATTTCAATATTTCTAACCTTCTATCAATTAATAGCTCCCTTTTAACAACGTTAACCTATGGCATCACTTATCCTGCTTACTTGTTTTATGTATATATAGACACTCACAACATAAGTATTTATCCACAAAAAATTATTTACTTACCTTCCACTCCAGGTTGGAAAAAATTTATAATCGCCACATTATCAATTTGTTGTTCACTATTAACTGTTCGTTTAGGTGCATTTTTGCAAGCTAGAAAAGATAATCATGGCGATGATATTACTGCTGTTTATTATTAAGTATATGTGTGATAAATCTGTATTATGTTTCTTTTCTATTGTTTGTATCTTGTATATTTTTGATCAATATTTAAAACTTTTTGTTGCATGTACTTTTTCATTGAATATGTATTACCTACAATAAAACAAGTTTGGCGCTATATAATTTCTATTTTAATAAGAAGTTTCAAAGAGATTACCACTGTTTATATTGATTATTGATCACAGGTTAAATAATGCTCTATCGGGATGTTTGATGAGCTTTCTTGATAAAGTAATAATTTATAATAATAATTAGAATAAATTTACTATAAACTTTAAGCTCAACATTCTTTTCAACTTACAAATTAACTTATTTCCAAATTTTAGGATTAAGTATATCGAAAATAGTATAAGAAGGTAACTTAGAGCGATATTTAAATTTTTGGAAAATTTTTAAATTTTACTAATTATATTTTTTAAAAAGAATTTTGCTAATTTTGAAACTGCAATTATATGTAAAAATTTTATGCTGAACAAACTTACTTAGAAAGCAAAAGTAGATTACCTTAGTAAGAAAAGAAGTTTACTATATGCAACCGATAAAATTTTTAGTTTTTCTATGAGTGCTTTTAGGCATCTCTCGCGGGAGACATACAGTATCTCTCGTATTCATTAGACAGTGAACCATAATTTAGTGTAACGTAGTACGATCGGAAATTCCAAAACCGTTAAAACAGTTTATTTTCTAAAAAAAACGCATAAGAAATCTTTTGTGCACTAACAAAAAGTTTTTCTTAAGCAAAATTACATATATTTTTTTTTATTTTCAACTCTAAACTAAATGTTATTCTAATATAAATAAATCAAGAAATTTTGAAAGATGCTTATAATTTTTTTTTTATATACAGTATCTTGTTTTACTAAGACAACTTATTTTTATTTTCTAAGTAAATTTGTTTAACATAAATTTTACATATATATATTTATTAGAATATATTTTTCAAAATTTTTATTAAGTAAAAAAAATTATATTATTTTTATATAAAAAAATTTTTTTAAAAAAAAGTATATACTGTAAAAGCAATGTAATTTTTTACTTAATAAAAAATTAAAAAAAAATATATTTTAACAAGAATAAATCTAATTGTAACAATCTATTATGCATTTATTTGTAACAATTCAATTAGTATAATCAATAAAAATAATCAAAATTTTATATAACAACTTTTAACTTTAATTACTATTAACTAATTTAAGATTGTTATATATAATAGGTTGTTATAAAAACATTTATTTAACAATAAATTTATTTATTTTTTTTGAAATATTAAAAAAAAAAAAAAAACTTTAATAGATAATAAGAGAAATTATATTAAATATTTCTAAACTATATTTGTATTATTTATTTAAAATATTTAATATAATATTATATCTTTATTTCTATATAATACAATTATTTTTTTAGTTTAAAACAGCAATCTTGGTTGTATGTCTTTATTAGTAATATATATTACATTTTTTATATACAATAGTCTATCAACAAAAGTACAACTAGTAATATATATAACTTTAGTCATTATCTAATTAAGGGTTCTGCCTATAGGTTAGGCTATTAAATGTCATACTTAAAACCTACTTTTAAGTTCTTTATTTAAACTTTTTGATTTTCAATATTATTTGCATATATATGCAATACTTTATATTACTATTATAGTAACATATTAGGTTAGAACTATCTAATTACTATTTATATCAAAGTAACATCTTATTAGATATTACTGAGTATCTATAATCATTTAAATTTACTTTTGACACAAATTTATTAAGTATAATATCAAGAATATCTCTTAGATTTTTATTCAACTTCAGTATATTCTGTATTTACTAAAACTAATATTAGTATTAAAAATATTCAAATTTTAGTAAGTTTATTTCTTTTTTATAGCTTTTTTTTAAGTTTATTGTATTATCTGCTAGTATGGCTTTCTTTAATTCTAATATGTTTACTATTTCTTTTATATTGAGTATCAATTCTTTATATTGAGAAGCTTTATTCTAAAAACTTTCTTATATACTAATCTTTTTATTTACATGAGCTTAGCTATAGAGCTTTGCATATATTTATATACTTCTATAGATTACAGACTTTTTACCTTTAGCTAAAATTAAATCATTGATTTTATCTATAGAAGAAGGCATTTAGATTATTAGGCTACAGAACTTCAACTTATATAATACAATTATTAATTATTTTCAAATTAATTTTAAGTATAAAAAGATTAAAAAAATCTAAAATAATAGTATTTAATAAATATAATTAGTAAATAAATAACTAGTTATTAATAAATACAATTAGATTTATAGTAGATATATTAATAGTATTAGAATTTAATTAAGAAAAAAGAACTAAAGAATATATTTTTAAATATTTAAATCTATTAGTTATATTGTTTGTTTTTTCTTATTATTATTAAAAAATATTATATATAATAAGGTATAATAACTTAGTGAAATAAATAAGTTGTCAACCTTCCAAATGATAGATTGTAAGTTCAAAATCTACTGATAGTAAAAATTTGGATAATTACTTATATAATAATAGATAATATTATAATGATAGCATTTTGTTAATTAGTTGAGATAAGATACCTATAACTATGGTCATATCAGTATGACTAACAGGTCATAGTGCATTTGTGTAATTTTAGTTATATAGAAAAATGCAAACCAGTACTGGATAGTGCAAATCTAAGATAAGTTTTTGTAGTTATATAAATCTGTAGAACTAGAAAAAACTAAAGCCTACTTGGAAATACCAAATAAAGAGGTAGTATAGATTTTTGATAGTAGTATTGTAAAAACTAAACCTAGAAAACAGATATCAATATAGAGAATCAGATAGGCAAGAACCTTGAGTAACAAGTACTACCTATTAGATCATTAGATTTCAAACTAAAAAAAAAATATCAAGCTGGTCTTAATATACCAAGAACAGATTACAGTTCTTCTAAGCTATCTGGATTGGAAGTCTGAAGACAAAACAGTAGTAAACTAAAAGTACTAGAAATATACTATAAAGTCAGTATTAAGGTTTAAATAAACTTTGCTTATTAATATTCTATATAGTAAATAGGAGTTAACAAAAAAAGTTTCTTGCTTCTTACTGGCAGATATTGTACTCTGAAATATGTAATAGTTTAGAAACTAATACAAAAAGAGTAGGTAATATACTGCTTAGATGGTATACTAGTTAGGTATATATAAGGTATAGTGGCATTACATCATAACAAAGCAAATAATCAAAATATTTAAATAAATAATCTCCTAGTAGATTATATATATAGCATCAAGTATAAAACCTTAGAGTGAACTACTTAAATAGGCAACCAAAAGTTGCATGTATGACTAGTTGTACTCTTATCTTTATATAAAATAGTTGTAATAACTAACTTAATAAAAAGTCAATAAAGCTTCATTATAAAGCATGATCTTTAATATAAAAAAATATATATATATATATAATTATATTTATAAATAGAACTAATTAAAAAAAATAAAAAGCTGTGATGATCTGATGATATAAATAGGGTGTTAATTTCT